TGTTTATTAAACCACAGAGAGATACGGGATGTATAAACGTAGTAGGGATGCACCTGTGATCAAATGACATATTGTATGTGATGATGGGGTTTTTTCCCCCCTTTTTTTCCTTCTCCCTTTCCCATTGTTTTTTTTTCCTATTGTTATGTGATGTTGTCTATGTAATAAAAAATAAAATTATAAAAAAAAAATCCTCTTCTTTTCCAAGATAAAGAGGATTTCCATTTTTAAAAAGAAATGAAATTGAGTTTTACATGCATCATAAAGTATATTAGATGAGAGCTGTGTACTGTGCATGAATTGTACAAGTAACCTTTGCAAATGGGAGAAACTGACTTAGCAATTGTCTTATGTAAAACAGCCCGCCAACTTTTTAGTAACTTTTTCTTTGTCTTTAGGAAATGATTTTAGAGATGAGGCAGCGCCTTATTTTTCTGAATCCTTAATTGTGAGTATCTTGCTAAAGGGGACAGGTGGGCATCTGGAATAAAGGAAGCATTTAAGTAAAAATAGGAAAACAATAAAATTTGCCCAAACTAACTGGAGCTTTTAAAGCAAGCTTCTCAAGCTTTAGATATGGTGAATTACAATTCCAGTCATCCCCAATCATGGCAAAAGGCCATATTTGGAAAATACCTCTTGTCCACAAGTGCAATAATTCCTGCATGCAACACCCTCAATTGCTCATTCAGTACAGGAAGGACTAATTCTGAAGCAATAGCATTGTAGTGAATAACTTCTGGCAATAAGAAGCTCAGACCAAGCATTAAAGAGAACAAAATAATCTGCACAATTTAAAGTGCTGGTTATTAACTTTAAAGCTCTAAACTGTGCAGCATTTGGTAGAACTGAATCTGCCTGTCCAATTCCCTTCCAATCCAGGGAAGTTCCCTCCCTTTGTGAGATTCCTAGGGCATGGGTAAGATGGCAAGCCGCCTTGGTAACTGCCATCACTTTATGGATAACCGCTTCTCCAGACATACACACAGCCTCCCCTGCTGAATGCTGGAGATAGATTTTAATCTTTTTATTTCATCAAGGTTTTGGTCCTGTTGTGGTTCGCCAGCAGCCAGCGGAGCTGGCAGCAGGGTCAGGTGGGGAGGAGGTTGGGGAGGAACATGAGCCAGTCCTGGGGGCTGAGGAAAGCTCAGACAAGGGCTCTGCGTCGGAGGCAGAGAGGGAATTAGACAGCAGTGAGGCAGAAGAACAGCTGGAGCCTGTTCCCAGTGTGCGCTTGCACAAAGCTGCCAGAAGACAAAAACAACTAAGAAATTGGCTTCCTGTTTGAATCATATTCTACAACCTAAAGCAGGAGTGTCAAACTGGATTTCTTTGAGGGCTGGATCAGTATTGTAGTTGTCCTCCACGGGCCGGCCGGGTGGAGTGGGGGGGGGAAAGATGGGACAGATGCCTCTTGCAGCACCCTGCCAGCCAAAACGCTCCGTTTTCAGCCTTAACAACCTCCAGCACTCGGCTGGCAAAAATGGGGTGCCCCCCCACGCCCCATTTTGGCAAGCAGACTGCTGCAGGAGGCCATCCAGGCCAAAAACAGGGTGCAGGGAGGCTGTGTGCATGCCTCCCCGTGCCTTGTTTTGGCTGGCAGAATGCTGCAGGAGGCTGTTTTCACCAGCAGAGACACTGCAGGCCAGTCCTTTGCTATTTCCAGGCTGGCCGTGCAGACCAGATCTAAGCACCTTGCAGGGCGGATCTGGCCCGGAAGTCTTGAGTTTGACTCCCCTGACCTAGACTGCAGTTCTCAGCATACTGTAGTTTCCTATTAATCAGGTTTCCTGAAGAATAAACCAGAATGGTTTTATTCTGAAAACACTAAAATGCTACCTCAAGATTGGATAACTAGTTACACGATGGTCCTCCACCAGTCAAGATGCAGAGGAAATTCAAAAATAGCACATCTGAGAGGGTATCAGGTCAACGTGGTATTCCATGTATATGTTTAAGGTAGATGGATGTATATACAACACTACCTTGGAAACATTATTATTGATGCCTTGGAAAAGTAGAGTTTCACATATCATAAACAAGCATTTGTGAAAAAGGTGATCCTTGTTTTAAGGCAAGTGCTTAATAGAAGACAACAACTGACTCTATAGGTCTCTGCACCAATCTTTCTACAGGCTAATTACAGAGTGATAGAGCTGGACCTCAGTTACAATGAGTTTTCCGAGAAAGCTGGAGAACTATTTGGACAGGTGCTGGGTAAGTTTTGTTTCCCAACTTAAGGGAGGAGATGTGCCAAATAGTAATATTATTGAGTCAGATATCAAGACCATCAAGGACTCCAGAGTAGTATTCATATTTCACAAGCAGTAGACATCCAGAAACAATCCAAAACCTACAGTTGCTTTGGATAGTGATATGGGCAGCACATACATTTAATAAATAAATCTTGCAAAAATGTCCGTATGACATATATAAGTGTTTGTGCATCTTTTATTCAGTCAACAATGAATCACTGGAGATTCTGAATCTGAGCTGGAATCATCTGCGGCTGAAGGGTGCTACGGCCCTGAGTAATAGTCTCAAGGTGAGAATTTGCTGGACTATCTGCATTAGATGTCTTGAGTTTAAGGCCTTGAGCAAGGCAAGGCTGAGTATGGTACCAAAGAAACAACAACAAAAGCCCAGGGGTGGGATTCTACCGCTTCAGCCCGGTTCGGGCATACCTGTAGCTCTGAAGATCTGCTGAGAGTGACCCAGTTCGCTCTGTCCTTCAGGTGGATTTACACTTTCATTAGCTATGAATTAAAAGCCTCAAGTCTCAAGAAGATAGTGGCATTGTGGAAAATTTAAGAGGCAGAATCAGCCTTGAATCACTGCAGCTACTATGCAATTTTTCAATATCACTAGCAGTAGGTTCTACACACCTTAGTCCAACGTGATTCCCAAAGTAATCTAGTTGGTCTCTGTGTGGAAGAAAAAATGTTGGGAAAGTAAGGCCTTCACATTATATATGTGTTGATGTAAAACATGATCAGAGTTCTGTTCAAATTGATTTCCTTTCTGATTTCAGAGCTGAAGATTAAAATGTTTTTTAAAGATTTACATAGCCACAGATAAAAGTTGGTTTTATCTTCTCTTTTTTTCCTGGAGGTTAATGGAACATTGAAGATACTGAACCTTTCCTGGAATGGCTTTGGAAATGATGGAGCCTTTGCCCTTGGAGAAGCTCTGAAAGTCAACATTACGCTTGCTGAATTGGATATCAGCAACAACCATATTAGCAATGACGGGGCAATAAAGCTAAGCAAAGGATTAGAAATGAATGGGAGCCTTAGAATCCTAAAGGTGGGATGCCATCTTCTGACTGAGGGTCTACCAGTCTGACGTTCTTTTGGGCTGCCAGCTTTATGGCCCTGGGTGAACTGTCTACAGCAGTGGTTCCCAAACTTGGCAACTTTAAGACTTGTGGACTTCAACTCCCAGAGCTGGCTGGAGAATTCTGGGAGTTGAAGTCCACAAGTNATATATATATATATATAATTTAGATCTCTTTTGGCTTCTGTCCCTTATTTTCATTTATGTGAATTTGTACGTCTGGATTTTTGAAGTAGGCAATTGCTTTTATTAACTCTCATGCATTTATGCATAGGGAACTTATCAAGGGACTCCCATCCTCTTGTCTTCATCATAATTTGTGTTAATGAAATGTTTCCTCTGAAGATGAGAAGTTCATATGATTTTTTTTTTTTTAAGATAACTGATTGGTATGGAATGGTGCAGCCTCAACAGCTACTGAACACTTTTTAAAAATTCATGTTTTTAAGCATTCTAGGAAGCTGTCCATCAAGATTGAAATTCCACGATCAGAGGATCACAAGAGGATTGCAAGCCATTCTGTAGAATTCAGCAGTTTTGTCATATCGAAATTTACAGGAAACTATACTTAAATTTACAAATCACTTAAGAGCAAGTTGTTAGTTCATCTTAAATGACATTGATTTCAATTTGCTAGGAAGTCTCAGCTGGGGAAAAAAAAAACAAATCCGAGAATTTAATATCTAAGTTTTGCTGACAAAATTCATATCTTTTATGATATCAGTTATTTGGTTTATTTATCTGAAATACTTTAAAATTCATATATATTTGCACCTTTGAAGTTGAAATGAATGAATGCACCAGTTTTTATTTTATTTTGCTGTTGCTCATTCTTTCAATATTTATTTTTTTCTGGCATTTGCATTAGTTACTAAAATTACTTTTTTGAATCACATTAAACTAATGTCATTTTGTCCACATTCTCCCAAAATGCATATTTTTGTATTTTCTTTAATACCATGCTTAGTTATGCATTACTTTTGCTAATGCACACTTCTTTCTGTACTTTTCCCCTAGGATACTTTATTTTTTAAACATGGTTTTTATTTGAGTATCACATCACACTTGGCTTTGGGTTTTTATTTAAGATTTGAAGTAGATGCAGCTGCTTTAATAAGTTGCAAAGTGGTATTTCATGGTCCTGCATATGATCAATCAATCAAATGTTTATTCAGTCATAGACCATGAAATAGAATATAGAAATCAGAGTTGCTAAAAATAAAATGATTATGTGTGATGTGATTCTCTCTCTCTCTCCCTCCCTCCCTCCCTCCC